TAACTAATTTTGCTACTGTTATGAATCATCATGTAAATATCTGATATGCAGGATGTATTTTCATTGTTACAAATTGAACCTAATTAAAGCATAGTGATTAATCACAAAAACCATATGTAATTATATATTGCGAAATATTTATTTCTAATGATGAATAAATGAATTTTGTCTTGAAGCATGGTGTAGCATGGGTAAGTATTCACGCTGGGTACTCATATATGGGCATATCTACAGGTGGGCAGACCCACTTGGAGACAGATAGAGAAGTGGTGTCTCAGTTCCTAACAGAATCGTTGGAAATATGTTTTCCAATGGTCTTAGGGGACCCCTGTGAAAGGGTCGTTTGACCCCCAAAAGGGTTGTTTGACCCCCAAAGGGGTCGCGACCCACAGGTTGAGAACCACTGCTGTAGAAGAACATAATGTTTGGTAAAGTGGAGGGGCGGCGAAAAAGAAGAAGGTTCTGGATGAGATGAATTGACCCATGGCTGCTTCAGTGGGCTCAGGTCTAGGAACTACTGTGAGGCTGGTGCAGGGCTGGGCCATGCCATGTTTTGTTCTATTGTGCATAGGGTCACGATAGGTCAGAGTCCACTCGATGCACCTAACAACAACAACAGACAAGTTTATTTGGCATCAAAGCTCTTCCCTAGCTTTAGCCAGAATGGAACCCTTTCACCCAGCAGCAGCCACTCAGTACCTACACGGTTTCTCCTTCCTGCTCATGCTGTCTTTTCCCAGAAGCATCTTCTTGCTGAGCAGCTTTCGACATTCAGATGCAATGGTCTAGTCCATCTCTGGGGTGTGTTTTTCTTTTTCCTGGTGGCCTGAGGAGGAGGTCACTAGGTTGACCAGCACCCATGACTGCCTTTTCTTGCTAAAGAAATAGGGGGCTGGGGGTACGAATCTGAGCTGTGTGGGAAATCTCCAGTGTAGAGGTCAGCTCCTCAAGCGGTCTCCAGCACTGACCGGCTGTGTCCGTGGGCAGGGGCCTGACCCTCTCTGAGCATTGGCCGTGGAGACCCTTCCCCTCCATCTGGAGTAATGAGGTGCAATGCAATGTGGCTGTTCTTTCAGCTTTCAGTTTCCTGTTTTCCGGTAGATACAAGATCCTGTACTGAGAGTGCAAGTGATTAGTATTCTTCACAAATCATCACGGCTGTGGCTGGAATAACTAGAAACAAAGAGGACTAATTCTGTTTACCTGTTTTTCAAAAGCACCGGCACCTTTCTGAGGTTATTTATTCGAATGAACACCTATTGATTAGAACACTCATTTTGCATTTTGGCAGTGATCAGAAAGGCAGACGGGCATGCATTTGGGGGTAAAGCTGTGGTTGTCCTTGGTTTATCCTTGGGGTTTCTGTTGTGAGGTGCTATGCTGGGTGTATGTGTTAAATGGGTTCTAAGAACACCAGTAACAAAAGTTTTTATCCTCTTTCTTTTTTTCTGATGTGTCAGATCCTTTTTTTGTTTTTGTTTTTGTTTCCTCTATTTTGGCATGCCTCCTCTTTAGCCTAACCTCACTGCCCAGGCCTCAAGTGGGAAAAGGTTGCTGTTTTCTGTTAGTCTGGGGGAAAAAAATTCTTATGATTCATTACCCTCCCCACCCACCTTGCGGTGGGGCGCTTGTGGTCTTACAGAGGATGAGTGTCTGTGTGTGTGTGTGTGTGTGTGTGTGTCCTGCACATCCACCCAGGCACGTCTTCCTGCAAGGCAAGCCTGGTGCGTGTGACGTGTGTGTATGCAAGTGCCTGCACACACTGCCTGCTCGCCTGGAGTCAACCTGCGCGTTTGCGCGTGTGAGTATTACACGCCAGCACATAAGCTGTGTATGTGTGTGGGGTATGTGCAGTACGTACACGCGGCGTTCCCGCCCTCCCCTCCGCCCGCAGTGCTGAGCTTTGAGCACAGCCCATGGCAGGCGCCGCTCCATCCTGTACGCCATCTGTTTCTATAGGAACCACCGCGCCACAGCGCCCGCCGGCCCCGCCAGCCGCGGCTCCTGGGCGAGCATGCCCAGTGGAAGCCGCTACTTTGGCTCCAGTCGGGGTTTCCAGTAAGTGGCATGCGGGACTCCGGAGAGATCCCCGTGAGCTGAGCGAGAGTCTTTGTGTGAAGAGGGAGGAGGTGGCAGCGGCGACTCCCTGGCCTGGAAACCCTGCCGGGGGAAGCGAGGCAGGAACAATGCTAGCCTGCCTGACCCGGGGGAACTTGCTGGACGTCCTGCAGGAGGGCTTCAATGAGGTAACTACCCCGCCCCTCCCACTCCCCAACTCCCTTCCCCCAGCGCCTCCCGCCTAATCTTGGATGGGCTTCTCCTCCATCCCCCCTCCTCCTAGGCGCCTGCAGAGCCCCTAAGGGGGGCTAAGCTGATGGTTACAGTGCAGATGGGTGAACTAGGATAAATTAAAAGGGTTCCCTGTCTCCAGCTAAACCGGGCGATGGTGGTTCATTTGAACCCACAAAGCAGAAATCATCTCTTCTCAAAAGAAGTGGTCCGCACTGACCCGGGATCCTCCCCGAGGAAGTCCTCAGGGAAGTCCCTGTATGTGTGGCCGAGTGCTCATCGGCTTTGCAGAGCAAACCGGGTTGGAATCTCCTTGCGCCAGGGAGGGCTGGGGTGGCCTTGCCATTGTAGAAAGTTTGAGAAGGCAGGGGCTGTGGGTGGAGGGCAGGAAGCACCATTTGCACGTCCTTCTAAATTTAGGGCTGTGGGTTTCTTTTCAGCCAAAGACGGTGGTTGGCAGAGAGGAGCCATGGACTATAACGAGAGAGTGGACCTGGATACCTGGGTCCGGTTCCGGGGAGCCAAACCTTTGCTCCCTTCTGTGTGTGAGCAGAGAGCCATCTGGGAGCTCTGGCTGCCCCGCAGGAGGGGCTCTGATCTAGCAGGGGGGTCATCCTGCAGACACTTGTCTATTCTCAGCATTCGGTTGTTTATTCCATTTCCTTCTCTGCGCCCCGGAAACTTGTGTTTGGGCCACTTCCTTTCCCCCGGTGCCACTTGATCCACGCGTCTGCCATTGCCTCCAGCCCCACCTCTCCTGCCTCCCCCAGGGAGTCCCCTACACGGAATCCAGGCCGCTAGTTTTGCCTTCTCTCCCTCTCCATCTCCCTCGTCATCTCCCCCTTTCTTTCCACCTCATCCTCTTTCCCTCCACGCAGCTCATTCATAAACCGGAGTTTTCTGTAAGTCAGTTATAATCACACAAGTAACTCATGACTACATCACCTCCTTAAATATGAACATCAAAGGCAAGCTAAGCCCGACAGACCCTTGGCCGCCCCTCCAATCCCTGCCTTTTCCCTCAGAGCTAACCATTTTCCTGACTGTGTGTACGATTTTCTCCCAGCAGCTGCAATGCAGGCGATTCCCCTAAATTCCTGTTTCTAATTAAGCCGCTCTGCAGCCTGACCTGCCTCAGAACCTTCCCCACCGCGGGCCCCTGCGTCCCGCCTCGTTCCAGACACTGGGAAAAGCTGCAAAAAGGCTGTCCCAACCGAACCAACCGAGTCAGAATTCTCCTCTGGCAGAGGGGGCTCCCCGCCTTCACCGGGGCAGAGCTGGCATCCTGCCTGGCTCGCCATCCAATCGTCAGACCTTTGGGCCACTCCCACTCCCCTGGAGCACACGCAAGGGGACCAGGGGACCGTTAACAAAGAGCTGCCGTCAGAGTTGAAACGCAGAGGAGCCCGGAAGCCGCCTTTTCTGCAGCAGGACCTCCCTAGTGCTTAGCCACGCAGGTCTGACTCATTGACTAACTGTAGCAATGCCCCTTTGGGTCTTCTTGTGACCTCCTCCCTGTTTTTAAAATTTTTTCAAATCCAGCCCCCAGATATCAGGTTCGACTGTTTGATTAGGAGGGAAAAATCCGCCCAGCCTTTGCCTTCTGCTCATTTTCACCACGGACTCTTAACTAAAGTGCTTGGTGAACCAAGAGGCTTGCTAACTTTTTCATGTGTTGGTGATTTTTCAAAACATACCCCCTGCCTTCCATTCCTTGTGAACCTTAACGAAAAAGAGCAAGTGGGAAAGTTTGTCTTCTTTTTTTTTTTAATGTATGGTGGTAATGGACTCTTCCTAAAAACAACAGATGCAGAGCTTCATAAATTATTAATATCTAGAATAATACAATAATGCCTCTTTTCCCTCTGACGGTTGATTTTCTACCCATGGCGTCCATCCTGGAAGCTGTGCTCCACCCCTTCCGCAGGCTAACTTTCATCTGTTCCTTTCCAGTGGGAGGTCTGAAAGGTAGGAATTCCTACTTTTGGTTACTCTCTGAAACGGACACTAACTACATGATGATAGTAGTACTATGTGACATTGACTGGCCTATTATAGTTTCATTCTTTTAAATATATATTTTTCTTTGTACATATAGTATCACATGTAGTGCTACTATATAATGATTAGATTGATTATTTTAGGGTGGATGGGCCTCCACTTGACCTACACCAGCCTCTGGGGTTACTTTTTAGATCCAATCATCTTCTCTCTCTTTTATTAGATTCATGCAATAGGGATGTAAATTGGGACTTAAAAGCTAGTGTCAAAGTACACTTCAGTTCCTCCGAGAAACTCTTTCTGTGGTGTTCCTAAGAATACCACACATGTGCCCAGTCATCTGGGCATGACCCAAGCAGATATGAAGCTGCTCTCGAGCATCACCTAGAACAGCGGTTCTCAACCTGTGGCTCTCGACCCCTTTGGGGGTCGAACGACCCTTTCACAGGGATTGCCCAATTCATAACAGTAGCAAAATTATAGTTATGAAGTAGCATTGAAAATAATTTTATGGTTGGGAGCCACCACAACATGAACTGTATTAAAGGGTCGAGGCATTAGGAAGGTTGAGAACCACTGACTAGAACCTTTATAATTCTATATGATTAGAACTCTGAGTTCATTGCCTGTTGAAGAGCCAAGGGCCACAGGAGATTGGGCTCTGACCCTAATTGCTTAATTATAAGAACCCGGCAGATGGAGAAGTCTACCCTGGGTAAAGGTTTGCTTCTACCCACCATTGGCCTCTCTTCTCAATCCGCATGCCCTGCTGCATAACACTGCACGAGAGAATTTTTTTTTCTATCTCATTTCCTGAATAGTCTCCTGGCCTCAACACCCCTGGCAAAATATTTACAGAATTGATCTATGCCAATGCTGTCTATTTTATTTACATGGGTTATTTGCATTGTGAGTGCTCCACAGTTGGCTACAGCCCTATTCTGTAGCCCACCCTGGCTGCTGCTGGCTGTCATAGCTGATCTCCTAGGTTCCATGCCTGGCCAGGCTTTCTGTCGCTTACAGTTTCTCCACACTGCCTTTCCTGCAAAGCACATATTTATTTGTTTCCCCTGCCACTTGGTATTGGTGGTGTGGTAGGCATAGTGTCATTAGTTAAGGTGCCAACATGAATCTCTAGATGCGTTTTTATGGGGGCTGGACTGTCTCTAAAAATACATCATATTTGTGGTGGAAGGGTGGAAAGTGTTGATAGAACCAAGACTATATTAAGGTTTTGGCAACAGGCACTCTTTCATTCAGTGTTACAGCCATTTATTGGGTGAAGATGGATCAAGATGAAAAACACTTGGTTTCTGATTCCAGTTAATTTATGGAGAGACCCAGAGATTGTAGAGATACTTTCTAGTTAGTCATATCATGAAAAGCACCAAATAGTTACCAGCCCACCTGCTCACTAAAGTCAAAGACTCCTCCTTAGCCCTGATAATCTGGTAAACAGCCATGCAAGCACTCATTCACGAGACAGTCACTGAATTACTGCTTACTCGGCACTGGGCCAGGCGCTTAAAATAGAAGTCAAATAACAAAATCTGCCCCAATGGAGTCACAGGCCAGTGATGATACAGTAAATGCTCAGAGTCACAAACTCGGGAAGGTTAAGGATAGAGAAAACTTGCTTGTGGCTAAGAGCGAACCCATGCCTGAGGTCTGCATGGCCTAAGGCTCTGGAGGTTGTGGGAATGTTTTATTAAAATGTTGCTTGAGAGAATTCGTGTCTGATTTTAGCCACATAGAACGTGGCAGACTTTCCTTCCCAGTGGGAGAGTTCCCCATCATGTGTAATAAACATTCCACATTACAATTCATTATCCTGGCAAACTCTGAGAAATAGAGGAAGAGCCCTTCTCTGGCCACATCCTCATAATGGGACCTCAGATGAATGAGCAAGTGGATTGGCAGGTGCAGCAGCTGCTGCAAATATCTCTGCTAAGGGCCTTCCATGGAGTAGGATTTACGACATCGGGCCAACTAGAAACTCACATGTTTCCACAATAGATTCCTCTGTGCTTGATTGTAGAAATTAAAGACCTGTTATGTCTTTAATGTAACAAAGCACCACACCCCCTCCAACCTTCTTTTTTCTATCCCAACTTGATTTCTCCTCTCCACCCAGGAGTGTTGGCTTTGTTCCCATAGGAGCCAATGCCAGGCAAACAGATGCTCCCTGGCATCAAGCTATCCGGCAGCTTTACGTTCCTCGTGGTGAGTGCTGCGTTGGCCAGGCGTGTGGGGCAGTGATATGGCGCTGTTTGCCAGGTGCCCCTCCCACAGGCAGTTCCCAGAGTCTGGGGAGTGCTAGAAACGCTTTGGCTGCCATGACTGGCCTTGTTGTCTAGGCCTCAAAGACCAACCATGCTAAAGGGCACTCTCCTGAGTGGATTTCCTTAACCAGGCCCCATTTAAGTTTAACCTTCAGAGACCTGGTGTGGGAACGGGAAAGGAAACCAATCCCAAAGGCCTCAAGAGGTGCTCCCTGTCTTGTTTTCTGCATAAAACATACTCCCAGACTATCTAGCAACACTTCATCCACCCATCCACCCACCCATCCACTCATCCATATGCATTTGTTGAACACTTACCTTGTAATAAGTACTCATGAAGAAACACAGTGTTAGGGGAACTCAACCAATGAGAATGAAGGCTAAGGACTAAGATCTTTCAGAAAATCTTTAGCTCTTCACTTTCTGATATATCCGCCTTTATCCAGCGGGCTAAATAGCTCTACATTTGGAGAAGAAATTTAATAATATTTGTATTTGAGAACTTCATTTCCCCCTAATTAGGAACTGGGTTTAATGAACAACGACCTTCCTTGGTTCAGACAAGCCCTGACAGAGTTAAAAGAAAAGAAATACAAAGTGTGCCCTCTGACTGGCCAATGATAACGCAAGGCTCTGCAATCCTCCTGCCTTTCTCCCGGGCCCTTAGCTGTAAC